TAAAATTTGTATTTTAAAATTCGGGCTGCTACACGTTTTGAATTCCCACACAATGTCAAACAAGATGTAACCCTTAGAGTGCACATTTTGCAAAATTATTTGAAAATTTTGTTGGATATTATTTAAATTAACAATGAGGAGTGATTTTGAAACTAATGAAAGAGGTTAACCATGAAAAAAATAAGGAAAAACAAAATGAGAATAAAATCTCATGCATTCTTGTATGTTCACATCGGTCATAGAGATATAGTTGGGTGACATATTGGAATATGTTTAACTTTACTCGAAAGAGATTGTTAAATAATTTAGGAGTATTGATTCTTCATTATTTTAATCGTGTGTCAAGGTTTAGAACTAGGTTTAGAGAAGAATATTACATAGGGATTTGTGATCCTAGTACATTCATCACATATTATAAAACACTTCAATTTATATTCATCGTCAATTTGTATTGAATTAGATAATTCATTCATAATTGCATACTTATTATTAATTTAGTTATAATTTCATCAAAACAAACTCTTACTTTTTTATTATTTCGGTTAAGGTCACAATAATTTGAATTTGAACTAATCAATCCTTGTTGGACGATACTTGAACTCAAAATGTCCACTTTATTACTTGTAACGAACTGTACACTTGCAGTGATTTTAATTCGAAATATATTTTCGTGAACACTCATCCTTAAGATTTGGAATAAATCTAATTTAATACTCCATACACCATCCTGATAACTTTGTTTTCCTATTGAACATTGTCCATGTGATCTCTAGTTGCAAAATCATGTTTCAATTATAGATTTTCTAATCTAATTTCTATCAAGCTTTTTAGCCTATAATTACTAACAAAATAATTCAAGAATCAATTAAGGCCCCAAGGCTCAATCATTGAATATTCACATGGCTACTGGGGTTTGAACCACCGACCTCCTACATAAATATCACATATATTTTCACTCGGCTAGCTATCCTAATTTAATTATTTCTTTTAAATAAAATATAATATACATATCAAACAATGTCTTCCTTTCTTTTCTATAGTTTTTCTTTTGGCGGGAAAGTTGGAAGGGTAAGGGGGCATCAGCGGATCAAGCATCTAGCGAGCATTGGCGACCGCCCCGTGCTAGCTCCGTCGTATTAATTTTCTTTTGGTGTCAATGTATATATTATTTTGGATGTATATCTTTGATTTCGTTTGTTCTCAAGTAGCTCTCATAGCTTAGTTGGTTAGAGCACTTTTTTAGTAAGTGGGAGGTCTCGAGTTCGACTTTGTGCTCCCTTTGAAATTATGGAAAGCTTGCCCACTATAACATTTGGTGGTGTTTCAAATTTTTTTATTTAACTAAAATTCGATCTTACAATGACCAGGTGGTTAAACCATGACTCGATGATCCAATGATTTGTCCAAGTGAATGACTAGATAACGTACATTCACACTTGCAATTCAAACTATGATACAAG